TGAGACCAGAGCTGTGTCTGTTTTGTTCACAGTTGACCCCTTAACTACCTGCCTAGCATAGAGCCTGGTATAAAGCAAACGCTCTCTCACTGTGTGTATGTACATGTGTATAAATATATAAACATATTTTAATTTCAAATACATATTCCTTATACTGAAAATGAACTTTCTTTGACTTACGTCCAACTGTTATCTCAAAGTGCACCGAAATGATCTCCATGCTCTAGGGGAAGAACATCAGTGAGTGAATTTTTAAAGCCTTCAGCATAATGGAGCCCTTCTTAGCGTGCTGGACTTTGTCGAAGCAGACTAATCTATATTTGAATTTGGAATAAATGGATTCACACGTACCTGTCAAAATGAGATAATGATCCCTGTGAAACAAACCTGGGCATAGGACAGATCCTACATTTATTTTCATGAATCTTTCTCCGTTTCCGATTCTTTCCTGCAAGCGTACACCATGAGCATGCAGGAACCCAAGTCCCTTTCCTGTGGAATGTGAGCACCTTGGACTCAGGCCGTGTTGATTTCATGGTGAGTCCCCTGAGGGAGGGAAAGTGAACAGAAGACAAGGTCTCTATATCATCCACATCAGGATTTGAAGAGGTCAAGTCAAAGGTCAGGTCAAATATCTTAACCGGCTCTAGACCAGCACAGTCATTTGTTGTCTTAGACCTTTTAAAGTAATTTTTAAAACTGCATATTAAGGTCACAACCACAATAGACCTTAGTAAAGCATCAACTGTGGTCAAGCAATCATGTGCTACTAAGTGGTCCTCTATGTCACGTACATAACGTTCCACTCTTGTGCCACTATTTCATAGCCTAAGTAGAATGGGAGATTTAACTACTTGAATAGCATTTATTATAACTCACAGTTCACTGATCCAAAAAATACATTATTACTTTAACATTAAAAATAGCACCTCATTTTCACCTAAACTTGTTTAAGGTTAGAGTGTATAACATTAGCTCAGTCAAAAAAAAACCTGTGTCTCTGGGTACAGAACGTTATTATACTTGAATGTATCAGCTAATTTAAAGATGTAGGGATTGCCTTAAAGGTGTGGATCGCCATGGGCTTCTGGTGATGGCTGAGAACAGTCTCCAAAGTGCCCTCTCCTGTACTACACATTATAGTCTAAGTCATGTCAGTAATAGGGATTTCCAGTAACAAGTCAGCTTTGTGACTCCTCATTAGGTTGGCTTAGGTGTGAAGTCTTTAACTTAATCTTTTCCATTCAAATTTTCCATCCGTAGAGAGTGTGTAATTAAATGTTGGGAAGTGTCTGGAGCTCACTGTGCCACGCGGAGCCATGGGATTCATAAAAATGCCGTCATCTCTTTCCAATTGAGAATGATCGGGAGGGTGGCTTTTCTACGTGAGGATGTTGTGTTTATCCTCCACGTTCTCTGTCCCGTTTCTTTGTCAGTTAACGTGGCTACTAGTTAGGAGTCTTCTGAGAACTGCTTCAGCAAAGGATGACTGAGGGGTCCGTGGCCCCCTGATCAATCTTCTTCCCATTCCCCCCCCCCCACCCCAGCACACAGAAGGGTCTCGGTACAGAGCTATTGGCGACTGAAAGGATATTCCGAGCAGCACTGTCACGTCTAAAATTAGAAACAATACGACCAACAACAGGGAGAAGTAAATGATGGTTTACCCACAAAATAGATTATGTTATAATATAAAACCATTAAAAGCCATGATTTCATATGCTCTCCTTTCTAATTTCATTACATCAGATGTATAGTAACTGAACAAGACACACACACACACACAATATGGCTCTAATTTTATAAAAATAATTTCAAATTAAGAGATCAAAATTAATAGTTATGTTTTGGTGGGAGTGTTAGAGTGGCTTCATTTTTTACTTTACGCTTTTCTGTAGATTATAAATAGTCTACCTATTTTTTAAAGGCCACTCAGCTCAAGCATCAGAGCCCTTGGTGGTTTCTCAGATTCTCCTCCAGTTAAACCCCAGCACCCCACCACCGTATCTCAAAAGCCTTTTATTTACTTATTTATTTTGGTAACGGCTTTATTGACATGGACCACTCCCCTCCCCATCCCCCCTACCCCTCGCGGTAGGCAACCACTAGTACGTTTTCTGTCTCTACAGATCTCCCTATTCTGGACATGTCTTATAATTGGGGCCATGCAGTATGTGGTCTCCACTATGATTTTATTTTTTTAATGTTTATTTTTGAGAGAGAGAGAGAGAGACAGAGCAGGAGTGGAGAAGGGGTGGATAGAGAGACAGAGACAGAGAGAGAGAGACGGAATCTGAAGCAGGCTCCACGACTGAGCTGTCAGCACAGAGCCCTATGCGGGGCCTCAAACTCCGGAGCCATGAGATCATGACCTGTGCCAAAGTCAGACACTCAACCAACAGAGTCACCCAGCTGCCCCTCCACTGTGATTTTAAATATCACTATTCTGAGCACTCACCGGGTGGAAAAACTAATTGTCACTATTAGAACTTCTTTAGGGCAGAGACTGGCTTTTTTTTTTAAGGCCATTTTTTAGAGCAGTTTTAGATTCACAGCAAAATGAAGAGGAAGATGCAGACATCTCCCATAGACTCTCTAAGGACTAGGTGATTTTCATCTTCGTGACCAGTAGTCCATGTTCAGTAGTGTCCGATGAATGTCTACTAAGTGAATCGGGTTGCCAGTTTATGAGACAGGCCTCCAAGGGCTTTTATGACCTGCCCAAGATATCACTGGTAGTAAGTGAACGGGCCACCCAAATCTCCTTTCCAATATTTATATGCTTGTGCAAGGTGTAACTTCTGTGATTTTGTTTCCTCCTGTGTAAAATGGTGGTAATACCCAAATCACAGGACTGTGGAAACGTTAGGTATCCCTGTACCCTACAAAGTCGCAACGTGCCATCATCCTCCTATCAAAAACACAGACAGGGGCGCCTGGGTGGCTTGGTCGGTTGAGCGTCCGACTTTCGCTTAGGTCATGATCTCGCGGTTCGTGGCTTCGAGCCCCGCGTCGGGCTCTGTGCTGACTGCCAGCTCAGGGCCTGGAGCCTGTTTCAGTCTGTGACTCCCTCTCTCTCTGACCCTCCCCTGCTCACGCTGTTTCTCTCTCTCTCTCTCCTAGAAATAAATAAAACATTTAAAAAAATTTAAGAAAACAAAAAATAAAAAATAAAACATATTCCAGGGGCGCCTGGGTGGCTTGGTCGGTTAAGCGTCCGACTTTCGCTTAGGTCATGATCTCGCGGTTCGTGGCTTCGAGCCCCGCGTCGGGCTCTGTGCTGACTGCCAGCTCAGGGCCTGGAGCCTGTTTCAGTCTGTGACTCCCTCTCTCTCTGACCCTCCCCTGCTCACGCTGTTTCTCTCTCTCTCTCTCCTAGAAATAAATAAAACATTTAAAAAAATTTAAGAAAACAAAAAATAAAAAATAAAACATATTCCAGGGGCGCCTGGGTGGTTTGGTCGGTTAAGGGTCCGACTTTCGCTTAGGTCATGATCTCGCTGTTCGTGGGTTCGAGCCCCGCGTCGGGCTCTGTGCTGACTGCCAGCTCAGAGCCTGGAGCCTGTTTCAGTCTGTGACTCCCTCTCTCTCTGACCCTTCCCTGCTCACGCTGTCTCTCCCTCTCTCCTAGAAATAAAAAAACATTTAAAAAAGAAAAAACACAGACAGTATTCTAAGATTAAGAACATGGTCACTGGAGTCAGGTAAACCTCCAGTGCTGACAATGAACCAGATGACTTCTCTGGACCCGTTTCCCCCAAGTTGTCAATCAGGCCAATATTCAACACATTACAGACAGTCCCTGATTTAACCACCGTTTGACTTTTGATTTTTTTGACTTGACCATCGTACAAGGTAATAAGCATTCAGTGGAAACCAGGCTTCAAATTGAGGATTTTGATCTTTTCCTGGGATATCGATTTACAACAGCAGGATACTCTCCCCATTCTGGGAAGGAGCCGCCACAGGAGGCTCCCCGACTGCCACCTGGTCACAAGTTAACCCACATACTGACAATCAACCCATAACCCTTCTTTTTTCTGCTTTCCGTACAGTATTCAATAAATTACATGCGCTATTCCACACTTTGTTATAAAATAGGCTTTGCGTTAGACGCTGTGGCCGAACTATAGGCTACAGTCAGTGTTCTGAGCACGTTTAAGGTAGGCTAGGCTAACCTATGACGTTCAGTAGGTTAGGTGTAGTCAATGTATTTTCAATTTACATAGTTTCCGTTTAGGATCAGTTTATCAGGAGGTAGCCCCAGCATGGCTCTAGAAAGAGCTGTACGTTTATTAGAATTGAGTGAGATGTCACCCGGATGCTATGTACAGTGGGGGCTGCTGTTTGAATTAGCACCGGTTTTATCCCTAATTGACGTGGCAATTATAATCCTGATAAAATTATAAGCAAAGCATCCATATCTTGCTTTAACTGTGGACGCAGCTGAGGTTCAGAGAGGTTAACTTGCCCAAGGCTACAGGTCAGCTTTTGAACTATCCAAGCCCCACACACCTCTCACTCTTAGGACACCTCCAGCCCAGGAAATCCACGCCCCGGTATCTCGGCCTGAAGCACAGCCCAGGGCCCTCCCAGGAAGGAGGAAACTCCCACCCAGGGCAGGGGGGTATCAGCATCCCAGGCACGGGGCACGGACTATCTCTGGGCTGGACCAGAACCACCCGGACGCCACACCTTCCTCCCAGATTTCCAGCAGCGACGAAGTGCCGGAGAGCCTGCCCTGGCGGACCGGGCCACTGGAAGGACCAGCCCCGCGTCCCGCAGGCTCCCGCCCTCCCGACGTCACGGCCTCTGGGTGCAGTGCCCCCTAGGGGCTCCCGCTCGGGCGGTGGAGGAAGGTTCAGGTCCTTCCTTCCTCTGGCCCGCTACCCGCCCGCCGCCACCCTCGGGAGGAGCCGGCCGCCGCCGCCGCCGCCGCCGCATCTCCGCGCGGAAGGAGGACCCGCCGCCCCTCGCTCTCGCCGCTCCGCCGGTCTCGCTGCGCGCCCCGCGCCATGAGCGCGCGCCTGCCGCTCTTCCTGCGCGGGCTCCGCCGCCCGCCGCGGCCCCCGGGCCGGCCGCTCCGCCTCCGAGCGCCCGGTCGCGCCAGCAGCAGCAGCGGCGGCGGCGGCGGCGGCGGCGGCCTGCTCGGGCAGCGGCGGCTGCAGGACGCCCAGGCCGGGAACAGCCGCGGCCAGGGCAGCCGGGCGCCCCCGGCGCGGGACTCGGTCGTCAGGTGAGTGTCCGGCGCCCGCCGCCGCCCAGGTGCCCGGTGGCGGCAACTGGGGTGGGGGATGTGGGGGACGCAGGAGTTGGGGCGGCCCGAGCGCTCGGGGCTCGGCGGGGTCCTGGGGACCTCCGCGGGGGGCGGGGGGATTCGCTGGGCGCGGGCCCGGGAGTGCTTGGCGCCGACTTGTTAGGGGCGCGGGCGGCGGGCGGGAGGAGCGCGGGAGGCGCGGGGCGGGAGGCGGGGGGCCCGGGAGGGCATCGGGCGGCGCCAGCATCCCCGGGGCCGGGGGGGGGGGG